ACACCCCACAATCCTCAGCCCAAAGGTCAGCACACTGTGTGGAAGAGGGTAAGACACATCCCACAATCCTCAGCCCAAAGGTCAGCACACTGTGTCAAAGAGGGTGAGATACACCCCACAATCCTCAGTCCAAAGGTCAGCACACTGTGTCAAAGAGGGTGAGATACACCCCACAATCCTCGGGCCCAGCTGTCAAAACACTGTGTTGAAGAGGGTGAGATACACCCTACAATCCTCACCCCGGCGGTCAACACACTGTACTGAAGGGGGGTTAGACGCATCCCACAATCCACAGGCCAACGGTCAATACACTGTGTCGAAGAGGGTGAACACATCCCACAATCATTAGTCTAGCAGGAAATACACTTTCCGGTCCTAGTGTTTAGACAGGGCAGGTTCATATGGTTCTTCTGTAAAGTCTTTTTACTTCTTGAGCATGAATCAGGAATAACTTTATCACCAAATTATCCAAGTCCAAGTTTACAGGTGCAAAACCACCTATGTTTGGTATCAAAAGTGGTGTTGTATAAAGTTAGAAAGTGCCACTGACAAGAACCTATGTTGTTTGATGAAAATTTAATCACAGTGCCGCCACAGCACTGGAATAGTCTTGCAACACTGTGTGTGATATGATTTTGAATAGGATAAAAAAACAACACATCAGATAAAAATACAATTAATGAGATTAAGCTGAAATAGTAGATTAACGGAATCACATAAATGTAAAAGTTTATGATGTACAGTATAATTAAATGTCGTTGAGATTTAGACACAAGACACGGTATCAATGAGATTATTCCTGGTTAAAGAATTTTAAATAATCTGCTCATTATTTCTTTGTTTGCACATGAGGAATTCCTTGAATTTGGCTCAAAACTGTACATATATAGAAAAAAAAAAGAAGGGAGTGGAAAGCCTTTTGCCAACATTTCTCTTTATTGGACTGAAGCCAGTGTAAGAGGAAACAGGCAGAGTGGATAAGTAAATACAGACATCTAAGATTGCCCCTGGCTTTACAGATTTCATTTAGAAAGCTAATGTGAGGTTTCAGAAGAATCATCTCAACCTTCCGTAGTATTTAGTTTGTTGTGTTTTCCTCTGGCTAGTGGGGGGATGCAAAGTTTCCTGCTAAATTCTAAAGTTATATTTCACAAATGAATGCACCAATGGTCCTTAATATGTGAATGTAAAGCTACACAAATACCTTTCTGTTTCATCGCTCTTCTAGAAACACAATCAGAGTAGGTCCTGGACTGTTCCACTGGGAGTGCGAGGTGGAGGTGTGTTGGTTTATTGTTTCTGATTTCTGCAAGCCTCTTGATCTGTGGATCTGTGATCGGCAGGAAAGCCTCAGAGGATGAATGGGAAAGTCAATGGCAGGCTCTTTGTGGGCAGCTCTCCTTCCCAAGTGGTGTTAAGCAACAACGACCTGCACTCCTACGTGGTGGCCAACGATGGCCGGGCCTATGTGGCCATCAGCACCATCCCCCGAAGCCTGGGCCCATCCCTGCTGCCCCTGTCCTCTTTAGGAGGTGTCATCGGCTGGGCATTCGCCCTGGAGGCTCCAGGTCATGAAAATGGCTTTAGTGTAGTAGGTAAGAGCACCTCCTTCAATTCATTTTTCACGTTGTTAGCTGCCTTTTTCCTTAACACCTTTCTTTCCCTGCTACGGTGAAAGGAACTGCTCGGCTTCGCACTGCACAATCCTGGCTACACCTTTGTGTTCCTGAAGTTAATTTTTTAAAATCTGAGACCAGATTAAAATGCAACCAGATTCCAAAAGTTTTGCGATCTTGTAGAAGCATTTAATGGCAAAGTGGGTTCTGAAATTTGTCTTCTCATGTGTTAATCATTCGTAGAATTTGTTTTTAAAAGAATCCTGGGACCTTGAAAAATTGGGTGAGGTGCTTTTTTCACTCATAGCTTTGTCATATTTTCACGTTTACCAGGGGCCGAACTGAGCGTCACTACAACATGATATGTGGTGCTTGCATGTGTTGTTGAAAATAAAAGGGTGTTAAGAAATGATCTAGAGGAACTTCTATACTTATCTCATGAGGGAGGAGGTTAAAATTTGAATGAAGATGTTTCTCTGGGCCTGTGCATTGGTAATCACTGGGTTGTCATCCCAGTGACAGTGCATTTTCTCTGCCCGTTCTGGTTACTACAGGAGGGGAGTTCACTCGTCAGGCTGAGGTGACCTTCCTTCCTGGGAATGAGAAGGTGACTATCCGGCAGGAGTTCAAGGGCATTGATGAGCATGACCACTTGGTGGTCAGCACCGACGTGGAAGGAAGGCTACCGGAAATTCCCGAGGGGGCGTCCGTGCAGATCGAACCCTACTCCGAGATCTACCATTACAGCAGCCAGAGTAAGTCTCGCTGCGGTTGAGAGAGTCTGGCGCATCTTTGCTGGGACGGGAAGCGGTTGCTGGTTGCTGCTGTTGCAATGTGTTTATTGACACAAGGGATGTCGATTTGCTCGTTTGAATGAAAATGGCATTTTCTTTTATGACGGGAAATGATACTTGTGTAAATAAGAGAGATCAGGGATGACCATCAAAGTCACCCTTTAAAAGGCAACAGGCAGAAGTAAATGTCTGACTGTGAAAGCCTGTAAAAGTCCAGGAGAAAGAGAAGTTTCTCTTGTCACACTTGGTGTCTTAGTAATTGAAATGTTGTGTCGATGGTAACTTCAAGGGGAGTCCATGTAGTAAAAGCCAAAAATTCCTGACAGTTGATGACCCATTGGATCTACAGTGGAGCAAAGGGCTCTTTCATCACCTCAGCAGCTGTTTCTTACCATATTAGCTAGAGGTAGGCAACTTCCCAGCACGTGGGCACAGTTGTCTGTGTTACACAGGAGGTCTCGTTGATGAGTGGCAGACACACACGCAAACTTGTGTGGTTGCTAGCTGCCAGTAATCGTAGAGGTTTGTTCCTTCAACGTGTTGCGTTTTACGCCTAAATTAAAACCATATTTTTTTATGGTTGGGTTGCTAACTATTCCTGGTTGTTCCAGTGATCACCTCTTCCTCCACACGGGACTACACCGTCACCCTGGGGGACGGCAGCACTTACACCAGATCATACCAGTGGAGGCAGACCATCTTCTTCCAGAGCTGCCCTCACGACGAAGCCTCCAGGGCCACCCCAGCCACACAGCAGCTCAGCGTGGACCAGATCTTCGTGATGTATGACGCGGACACTCAACTAATCCGCTACGCCATGAGCAACAAGATCGGCTCGCTTCACGGTAACCTGCCGCTGTCCAGCTTGAGCGCTTCTCTAGACCACAGGATTGTTTTCAGAGGAAAAATGGCAAGGGGTTAGCAAAGGAGATCCTGACTTACCAAGGGGGATAGCTAAGAAAGAAGGGTTGTTCTTGGCAGTTTGAGTGCTTACCCGAAATCTGACAATGAGCACAGAACACTTAGTGACGTGATCAGGCTGAACTGTAGCTCAGCTGCTGGTTAAGTAATTTAAGTACGTGTTTTCTTCTCAATGTTTAGAACATAGATATGGAGTAGTCTCTCCATGTGGTAATGTTTATCCTCAGATCACTTGTTTCTCGTGCAGTGGCGTGGAGGAGTCTGATTAGTTAGGCATCTACAGGTGTAGGTATCTAAACCTGCTTTGGTTCGAGCAGGGCTCTCGGTGCGCGGCCGCCAGCATTTCGGCAGTGCAGAAGTTCTCTCTGCGTTCGGGGTTTTGTACTTCAGTCCATCCCTCCCTTTCTGTAAGGGACCTAAAAGAGGTTTGTGATGTGTTCAGGGGGCGGGGAGGAAGAAAACGCCTGCTTCACTGGGAGACACGGCTGTGATACCAACGCGGCCTGTCGGCCCGGCCAGGGTAACCAGTTCACCTGTGAGTGCGCCACCGGTTTCCGTGGAGATGGACACAGGTGTTACGGTAGGCCACTGAACGTGAAATCCCTGCTTGTGGGTTGTGTTTTGACTGCCGGTTCTATCAGAGGTTCAAGGCTGAACCTTCACAGAAGAATTCCAAGATAACATTGTACTTTCTATGTAAAAAACATCTCCAGTACTGCTTTCCTTCCTGTGACATCTGCAGGATTTAAAGTGAGTTAATAAAGACTGTTCTCTGGTTGACCACTGCTGGAAGAGTTGCCCCTTTCATTACAAAGAACCTCCCTTTGGGAACATCTGCTTTAAAGGGAGAGCTTGAAAATAACATTAAGAGGATTGTGTATCATTTTTAAGAAGAGGGCTGAGGCCTTTGGTTTCAAGGTAAAACTGTTCAAAATAACACAAGAAAGCTAAAGCGACTCACTGGAAAATAGTCTTTGATCTATCCATTCACCCATTATCAGGAAGATGGCGATCACAGAAAGGGCTGCACAGCTAGGGCGCATCCAGTAAGCATGGGGTGCACAAGCTCTCTCCCCCTGTCAGGGGTGCCAGTCCAGCCCTAGGCCACAAGGAGAGGGACAAATCGGACTTGCTTATCACACCCATCCGGCATGTTTTTGGGAAGAGTGAGACAGGTGGAGAAAGCCCATGCAAACATGTGGAGAGGACACGGACGTCTCCCAGACTCAGAGAGGCTGTAACTCGGAGCCCTGGAGCTGTGTGGCAGCAGAGCTGACAGCAGTGTGCCTGTGTCTTTAATCAAAACACTGAACTGAATTCTCTTTTTTTTACCTTGTGCTCAGTGTTTTGTAAATAATGTCTGATTCTTTGTGCTGGGAAATGGAAGGCAGCTCTGGAGGGGCTGAAAGAGAAAGCTTTGTCCACACTCAACATTCTTTTTCTATCTTTTATGAATTATTTTTACACATCATTCTGATAAATCCAATTTATTATGATATGAAGCACTGTGTAAATGTTTGGAGTTAAGTAATGTTTTGAATCTAGGCTGCCTTGGTTAAATGCCTGCTTATGTCTTATTATTTAATCATAATTTAACATTTCTTTACCAAAATATGTTAAAATAAAGGGCTGGCAAAATTTATTCAGAAATGAATGCAACATGGAAAAAAATATAGCGTCTTAACATTAATTTTAAATAAGCTTTATTAGGATTATACTTTATTTTGAAGATTGGTTGTATTTAGAGTTTAGTTTTATGTGCTTCATGATTTAAACCTTCTAACCTGTCTGGGAATTGATGGATCTGACGTTTCTTGAAAGAAACCAGGGCTGGTTTTGGCTGCCTGATCATGCCTGGTTAGCTTGTTCCAGACACCCACAGCCCTATTCGAACAGCACGCAACGAACACAACAGTGTACAGAAGGGTTGGTGGCAGTTGTTGCTGCACTGTAGTGTAATTTGTGATATGAGGATTTT